CCCAAACCCTAAGCCCTAAACTTTAAACCCTAATTAAAACCCCCGAGGACTGCCTGCCGTTGGCCCTGATGCTCCTGATCTTCGGCGAGGCGCATGGCTTAGGGCTTAGGGCTTAGGGCTTAGGGCTTAGGGCTTAGGGTTTAGGGTTTAGGGTTGAGGGTTTAGGGTTTAGGGTTGAGGGGCCTTTATTATTGTACCTATACTTTTTTTTTGGGGGTGGTGGGCTTCTTAGTATAATTCTAGTATAATATACCACTTTGGGGGTTCCCTATTATACTTATAGTATAAGATACCCCACTAGTTTTTTTTGAGCGGTCCTGATTATAGTATACTATACCCCAAAAAACCTATGGAAAATCTTAAAGCCCCTGCACAAAAAATGGCTTGAAAGGTGCAGTTAAGGTGGATGGAAGAAGCCTCGGGGTTTTAGGATCCTTTGAGGGTTTAGGGTTTCGGGATCCTTGAAGGGTTTAGGGTTTAGGGATCCTGTAAGGATTCAGGGTTTAGAGATCTTTTAGGGGTTGAGGCTTTAAGGGTTTAGGGTTTCGGGACCCGTTAAGGGTTTCGGGATCCTTTAAGCGTTTAGGGTTTAGGGATCCTTTAACGATTTAGGGTTTAGAGATCTTCTAAGGGTTTAGAGTTTAGGGATCCTTTACCGGTTTGGGGTTTAGGGATCCTTTAAGGGCTTCGGGTTTAGGGGTCCTTTAAGGGTTTAGGGTTTAAAGATCCTCTAAGCGTTTAGGGTCTAGGGATCTTTTAAGGGTTTAGGAGAGATCTTTTAAGGGTTTAGAGTTTAGGGATCCTTTACCGGTTTGGGGTTTAGGGATCCTTTAAGGGCTTCGGGTTTAGGGGTCCTTTAAGGGTTTAGGGTTTAGGGATCCTTTAAGCGTTTAGGGTCTAGGGATCTTTTAAGGGTTTAGGGTTCAGGGATCCTTTAAAGGTTCAGGGTTTAGGGATCCTTTAAAGGTTTAGGGTTTAGAGATCTTTTAAGGGTTTAGGGTTTAGGGATCCTTTATGGGTTTGGGGTTTAGGGGTCCTTTAAGGGTTCAGGGATCCTTTAAGGGTTAAGGATTTAGGGATCCTTTACGGGTTTAGGATTTAGGGATCCTTTAAGGGTTCAGTTTCGGGATCCTTCAAGGATCCTTTACGCGTTTAGGGATTAGGGATCCTTTAAGGGTTTTAGGGTGAAGCAATCCTTTAAGGGTTTAGGGTTTAGGGATCCTTTAAGTTTAAGGGTTTATAGGGTTTAGGGATCCTGTAAGGGTTTCGGGTTTAGTAGTCCTTTAAGGATTTAGGGTTTAGGGATCCTGAATCACTGAAGGGTTCGAGTTCTTACTTGTCATATATATATATATATATGTATATGATCCTAATAAGGTTAAGTTACCTAACTTATATCCTAAGCCCGAGTACCTAATTATTGGGTCCTTTGGACCGCTGGGGGTTGTATGAAGGTGGATGGCAGAGGTCTTCAAGCTTGCGAGATCCTTGAAGGGATTTTGTTAGGGGTCCCGTTAAGGGTTCTACTTGGAGGTTCATGGGCAGTTGTACAGGGAGCTATAAGTCCCTTACTATGGATTATAACTTTAGCTACATAGGCTTCTATACGGGTCTTCGGCTGAACTGGCTGCAGGCCTTGCAAAGGGTTTGGGCTTGAAAAGGCTTTAGATACAAATGAAGAGGCTTACTTGGTTTAGGGTTTAGGGTTTAGTTTCATACGTAGTTATAAGTATGGTTATAAGTCCCCTAATATGGGTTATAGTTCTAGTCACCCCGCTTATAACCCCATTTATGACAACCCATGAACCTCCAAGTAGGGCATGGGATTCGGGCTGAGCGGCGTAGGGCTTAGGGCTGTCACGGAGTTTAGGGGACTCCCCTCCTCAGAAGGGTGCAGGGTTTAGGGGTTTTAGGGTTTAGGGTTCGGGGGACTGACATCTGACACAGCATTTCGCTGGGATTTTTCGGAGCAGCATGGGACGGTGCAATGAATACATGTCTTCTCGACTAAATGCGCTGCTGCTGCTATTCAACAGAGATCGACGATGACGTGCAGGATGCCGCTTACTGAGATTTGGGGAGAGTGGAACTTCGTGACAGTACCGGCAAGCTTCGGGTCTTCCTTCTTGGAAAGCGCTGTCGCCTGTCGACACAAGCACCAGTCAAATAAAGGGATTAACGAACTTGAGTTTGCAAGCAGCCGCCGTCCGAATTGTTTTTCTTTGGACTTTTCCACGGGGCATGTGATCATAGTTGTGGAAGGTGATGATGCGCTCATAATCATTCCACGCAGGTTACACACGCCTTGGAGTTGCCAGGTATAAAGCATTCATTGCCAATTCTGCGATCATCCCGCAGGTTAAGGTCGGACGCAGCATTGCCACCCGAGAGGAGGATCTTCAGGTGTTGACTTGAAAACGGCTCCAGGCCAACAAGGAGCTTACACAAAGCTCGGGGCTGCAAGGGGCTTTGCCACAAAGAGCTCAGGGTTGAAAGGGTTTAAATGTTTAGAACTGGGTGTTGTAACTCGGGGTTCAAACCTTAACCCTGGTAAGGGACAGAAAATATCAGAAGTTCAGTTGACTATAGTCCGGTGGCTCGTGGGGCCACGTCTCCGGGTTTAAAATGTTCAGGATACATGGCATGGTTGGGCCAGTATCGAATGGCATTGTTCTGAGCCTGCCGACGCACTCGAATGTTATGCATGATATCATGCCTTGAGCCCTGATCATGATAGCCTTGATCTCTCTAAATCCCACCCAGGGCACCCAAGCGCATGCTTGTTGTTGTTGTTGTCATCAGGGTTGGATCATGCGGCTATATAGAGTATCTATAAATTTCTAGTTTGACCGGCGCAAAAGGATGGTTTTCTGCGACCGCAGGTGCAGTCTCTACGATACTAAAACACACGCTGCTTCGTTCAGTAAAGCAGCCTTGCTCCCAGACCCTACGCAGGGTTTGGGATTTAGGATTAATAGGGCTTGGGGTCAATAGTGCCTAGGGTTCACTCCAGTCTGATATATATATATATATAGAGATATATTTATTCATTTATTTCTTCATTTACATATCCTAAGCCCTAACCCTCAACACATAAAACCAAAACCCTACACCCATAGATATAGCTACCCTGAGCCCATTTTCCCGAAAGCCCGGAAGCTTCCAAAGGCCCGCGCCCGGGGTTGCCATCTTTCCCTTCAGCTCCTGCTGCCGGTACTGATTTTCTTGGTCGTGGGCTCCTTGCCATGAGGCCTAGGGTTGAAGGGTTCAGAGGGTTCAGCTCCTTGCCAGGGTTTAGCGGTTAGGGTTTAGGGGTTTAGGGTTTAGGGTTTAGAGTTTAGGGTTTAGGGTTTAGTGAGGGTTTGGGTTTGGGTTGAAGGGTTCAGGGGTTCAGCTCCTTGCCATGAGAGCTAGGGCTTTGGGTTGAAGGGTTCAGGGGTTTGGGGTTTGGGGGTTTAGGGGCTCATGACCAAGAGGATTAGGTTTCAGGTTTTTAAGCTTCGCAGAAGTGGTTATAGTCTACTTGTTCAACCGGCTTTGTTTATAGAGTGTCTCTGTATAATAGGTTCCTAAACCCTAAACCCTAAGCCCAGATGCTGCGATATAAGGCGAAGGGGACCCTAATTTAGAGAACTACACATCTATTCCTTCTTCACAAGGTTTTGGTGTCTCTGTGTAGGGCGTCCTAACCCTAAACCCTGAGAAGACTATTCGTGAAACGACTGAGAGGCTTCCAGACCTGCTAGTCCCAAAGGGTCATCTGAATACAGTTACAGGGGATACTTTCCTAAATAATTAGAGTAATTCCGTGCTATAGAAATCCTACATTCTACCATATAGGCGCTTGGAAACTTTTGGGAGTGTTTGGAGTTTCGAATTTAGGATTCGTGCTCTGGATTCTATCACTTTCTCTTTGGGATAAGCTGTGTCATTTAGGGTTTAGGGTGAGGGTTTAGGGGTACTGTATTAGGAAAATGACGTGACCTAGAGAAGGTAGTGCATTCCCGGGTCTAGTCCTACAAAGCCCCGAAGCCAAAACCCAAAGTCAAGCCCTAAACCCTAAAGCTGAACTCCTAAACCCTTACACCCTAAACCCTAAACCCTAAACCCTGGAGCTTAACTCCTAAACCCTAACACCCTAAACCCTAGACCTTTAAACCCGAAACCCTGAACCCTAAACCCTAAACCTTTAAACCCTCAACCCTGAACCCTAAACCCCTATACCCTGAAAGCGGGATCCGGTGACTGCCAACTGCGCGGATCCAAGGCACCGTGGTTGCCTTCTGTTTCAAGCTGGCCACCGGCCTCTCTGCTTTAGGGTGTTTTGGGTTTAAGGTTTAAGGTAGGGGCCTAAATAATTACCAATACTATTTTGGGGGTTCCTTCTCATAAGTATAGTCTAATAGGCCCCGAAACCCTATTCTAATGATTAAGGCCCCTTTATCAGGGTTTAAGGTTTAGGGCAGGATTTCCAGGAACTTCAGGGACATCTGTTTAAGGATGAGTTTAGCTTAAGTCATGCAAAGCCCTACCTAGAGGAACCAAGGTACCCCGAAGGCCCCGAAGATGGCAAATGTGCCAATGTTTCGGGGGTCATAGCTCCTTTTTGGGAGCTAGGATTAGGGGGACCCTTGGGGATATAGACCCTCTCAATAAGGTCCCGTTTAAGAGAGCCACAAGTAGGGTTCAGAAGGGGTACCCTTTAAGGGGTACCCCTAATAATACTACTACATACTATACTGACTAAACAAGCAACCTTCCAGACCAGAACGGCTAAAACAGCTGCCCCCATTAG